TAAATACCAAGATTGCCCTTGTCTGTTACTTGAGTAGTTGTAGATCTGTAGAAAATTCAAGGATCTTTCATAATTTACAACTATGATAAAAAAATGGCATAGTGTAAATATTAGTTGCTTTACATCAAAAAGTAATACAAGATGATGCAGCAGGTAGTGCCCTACTGCCCCCCCAAATCAAACAAAAAGCACATTCAGCATTGCAGAAAATAACCGATATCCCCAAAAGGCTCATTCATTCTCTAATTATCTAGAGAACAAATATTGTGAATCCCAACTAAAGTTATGTTTTTTATGACCTGTTATAAGATCACTCTGGATTGCACATATTACACAGTATCTAAAATAATTTTTAAAGTACATTTTTAGAAGTAAATTTGTGAAATACACTAACAGAGCATATGTAATAACAAGAGTCATACCCACTGAGGGATGTGGTGAGGCACAAGGAAGATTATCCCTAAAAGCACGAATGTTTCCCTCTAGAAGATTCTTTACTACTATTAAGAAAGGACCTACAAATATCAACATTTAAAATCACATTAAGAAGAAAATTTTAGACATTTTAAGAAACATCAGTACATAATGACTCTGTTTCTTTAAAAGAGGGGGAAATATAAATTTATTTTAATTTACCACAGTTTGAAAATTGCTTCCTAATAAATGAAGCAGCTTTCAAGGAACCTTCCAGTTCAATGTACCACTTGCACACTGAAAACACCTTAACACTGCTTAAGGGAGATGATATTTTCTAAAACATAATTATTCTGATCCAGCTGGCAAGCAGTAGTTGTGTATTGTAGAGGGACTGCATTTTCCCTATCCCAAACAACTCAGTTTTAGTCAGCTCATATTGATGTAAACCTGAAAGTTTCTATTTTGTTGGTGATCATGTAAACATATTTTCTAACCCATTAAAACAAAAAAAACCAAAAATTTTTCATCAAGTATTACACATGAACATCTTTTAAGAAGTTAATATAAGACAAGATGAATCTGAAAACTGAGCCAAACCCTTTTAAAAAGATACTATATCACAGCACTTTAAATATACAGATGTATAATTTACCTACTTGTAAACAAAATTTGCTCAACTATCTCTCTAGCTGAATCAAAAAGCAGTCTCTTGAGCATGTTCAGAAATCAAGTTTCTTTCATAACTTCAATATATTGGATTTGTGTGATCTTAATACCCACCAAATTGAATGGCTGCATTAATGCTTTAGTAGGTATTAATATTCAAGAATAAATATTTCTTATGTATAGCTTCCAATTTAATTATTAACCTTCTTAGAAAAATGTTACGGATGCATTTGAGATAGCATTTAAGAAACCTTTAATTTCTTTCATTCATACTCATTTCACCAAAATAAAACTTTTATTATACATCCAGAGCAGAAATGTACCAAATAAAAACCCACTTAAATGATCAAGATAACTAACGTTTCTCACCTCCCTATTATCATTGCCAGTCCCAATATATTTATAAAGACAGCTCAAATTCTTTTCACTGCAGAATTACACAGTATGTCCAAGTCTTTTGCAGCCAAATCAAAAAAACACCTCATTATAGTTTTCACTTCAAACCAAAGTGACTTTGTTCTTCAAGTATAGAGAATACTGATAGATTTTAAAGCTTGAATGTATTACTTCATATTTTTCTCAAGCTAGACTAGAGTTAGTTTACTCTAGTTTTAGTTAACATGATAATACTTTTCCTTCCTTAGAAAAGAAAAAAAGGTGTGGGAATGAATTCTAGTTTTCATATATTCTATTTACTTCTGAATTTTTTTGATTTTTAAAAAGATCAATGGATTTGTAACTTCCCTGCAACACTCAGTCTTGTGAGGTTTTAAATGTAGCAGCCAAAAATTCAGAAAAATAAAAAATGAGAAATATACATGTGAAACACAGAAGTCTTTATTTTACAAAACGTACTTTACCTCTGCAATATTGTTTTATCTTATTTTAATCCATAATAACTCAAACATAATTGGCAGCAAAGGAAAAAAGGTATCAATCATATGTAGATATATTTTGATTTGAAAAATACAGTATTTCAGAGTTGCATGTTGATTCTCTGCTGTGGTTCTTTATTTGCTATAGTTTGTTGAAATCACAGTGAGAACATTGTAATTATCACATTAAGTCCAACTTAATAGAAAAGGAAGGTATTACACATTCCTAGGTATTCTGCATTATCAAGACATTTCTTAGAAATAACTAAGTCAAACTTCTTCATTTATTCACTTGCTGCTGTATATGCAAAAGGAACTCGTAATATGACAACGCGGATTCTGTTCTGTCCTCTACCATGTTTTGGAGGAAGTTTGCTTTCATTGGACTCTCATCCCTTAGGAATAAAAGGCAAAAAAATTTTAGATAAAATGGAATAGTAAAATGAACAGTAGATTTGTCACAAGGCTCTTGCTTTACTCTGATAACTACGATAACATTTACCGTACAAATAGCTACTTTTAGAGGCTTTCTCTGAGAACATTTGGTTGATGATATAAACTTCATTTTGTTGAGGGGAGAAAGTTTATAGTGGAATTAAGAGAAATAGTTGACTGGCCAGTTCTTCTTCTGGGTATAGAGCCAAAGGAACTGCAGTCGGAGTGTCAGAGATGTCTGCACGCCCACAGTCACTGCAGCGCTATTCGCAACAGCCAAGACATGGAAACAGCTGAAGTGCCCACGAATGGATTTTTAAAATATCGTATAAATACGTAATGGAATAATATTTAGCCTTTAAAAAGCAGGAAATTCCGTGTACAACATGGATGGATCTAGAGGAAGTTATGCTAAGTGAAATAAGCTGGGCACAGAGAGACAAACACCACACAATCTCACTTATGTGTGGAATCTAACGAAGCTGAACTCACAGAAGTAGAGAATTGAATCACGGTTACTATCAGAGGCTGGGAGGAATAGAGGGGGCACGGATGAAGACAGGAGAGATGTTGGTCAAAGGGTGCCAAGATTCAGTTACACAGGAGGAATAGGTTCTGGTGATCACAACATGGTGACTATGGTTAATAATAATGTATTGTATATTTTAAAATAGCTAATAGAATGGATTTTAAATGTTCTCACCATAAAGAAACAGTAATTATCTGTGGTGAGGGGTATGTTAATTAGCCTAATTTGATCATTCCATAATGTATACATGTATTGATGTGTGGAAATGGCACAGTGTACCTCATAAATATACACAATTATTACTGTCAATTAAAACTAAAATAAAACCAAAAGAGAGAGAAATGGTTAAGCTTTTCAGTAACAAGTCATTAAAAGTTTAGTAATTCCAATAATTGGATTATAAAGCATGATTTAGTACTATTTATTGAGAAGAATTCTTTTTCATTTTTTCCCCTATACTATCGTAAAAGGTTTGCTTAAGCATTCGGTCACATACATCTATGATTCTAAACAAGTCCTTGCGGCCAGGTGTGGTGGCTCATGCTTATAATCCTAGCACTATGGGAGGCCGAGGAGGGAGGATCCCTTGCTGTCAGGAGTTCAAGATCAGCCTGAGCAAGAGTGAGACCTAAAAATAAAAAAATACTAAAAATAGAAAAAATTAGCAGGACAACTAAAGATAGAAACAAAAAATTAGCCGGGCATGGTGGCAAGTGCCTGTAGTCCCAGCTACTAGGGAGGTTGAGGCAGGAGGAATGCTTGAGCTCAGGAGTTTGAGGTTGCTGTGAGCTAGGCTGACGTCACAGCACTCTAGCCCAGGCGACAGAGTGAGACTCTGTCTCAAAAATAAAAATAAACAAGTCCTCACAAGGCCAAATTGTTTTACTACTAGCAAATGAAAAATCTCACTTACCTTATGACATAAAGT